ACTGGTCACTCTATCAGTGAATTGATTTTGAGCCAGGCTGTGGTGGGTGCTGAGGACACAGATCCGTGTGGCAGCAGCTCCCTGTCACTTCCAACCTACGAAAACTCACAAATGAGCCACACACCAAATAGATTTTAGGACACGGCCTCTGTCCTCCACTTGTTTATCGTGTAGGTGGGAGGAGCTTGTGGGGCGGGGACTTGGAAGCGACATAAAGCACAAGTTTTAAGTAGCAAGTAAAGGCAGCAGTGACAGAGATGGCGTAAAGCAGACAAAGAGCTTGTACTCTCGAGTCAGACAGTCCTGGGTGTGATCCAATGTCTGCCACCTTTTTGCTTTGTGTTTTGTTTTGTTTTTTAACTTTTTGTTGTGGATTGGCTGAAACTTTACAGAGTGGATTATTTTTCCATTCAATAATTCATACATATTTCATTGATTGCAATCCCCACAATGTAACATCATTCACCATGCTTTCTCCGTTTCCTGTTTCCATTCCTCCTCCTTTCCTAACCCCTTCTCTTGAACTTTGTCGTGGGGCAAATGCTGCCCTTTTGATCTCAAATGGTTGATTGTACCTTCCTAATGATCTTGTTCACCTTGTAGACCTGTTTATTGTTTGATTTATAGATGACAATAGAATAAAGTAGAATGGAGAAAATTGTGGAACAAAACTCAGAATCATAAAAAAAGATCAGGCTTACTATTGTATAGAGACTATAAAGAGATTTAGTTACCTGAAGGTTAACTAAGAGTCAGTCATAGTCTCAGGGGTTTCTGACCTCATTCCGACCAGTAAGCCTGCTCTATTTTATGATTTTGAATCTTGTTACACAGTTTTTTCTACTCTGTTCTATTGTGATCCTTATCAGGGTGGTTGGAAGTGGTTGGAATCGGGCACTATACCAAACTTCTGGTCTCAGAGTCTTGAAGGCTGAGGTTTGCCTATAGCATTGGACTAAATGTTTCCATGAGTCTTGGATTTTCTTCACTGTTCTTTGTTCTGGCAACCTCCTTCATTTGTGACTGCAGTTACGTGGTTGCAGCCCCCCGATTTCCCTTCTTTAAACTAAGTGTGCTAAGAGTTGTGGGTACTTGATTGAGATCTTGCATGTAAGGCCTGGTACATGGTAAGTGGGTGCTTAGGAACTGGCTGTGTGGACGAGCTCGCCGCAAAGGAGTCACTCGTGTCAAGTTGATCTGGAAGTGGCCTTGAGAATGTGAGGAAGGATTTGAGCTGGTTCCTGAATGGACAAAGAAGAGGCAGGGTGAAGGTGGGAGCCCCCTCTGTTCTAGAACAGGAACTAGGATAAAACTGGGTTGGGGCCAGACCAGGGAAGCTGAGCTTTGACCTGTAAGGAGGGAGGAGCCACTGGAAACTTGAGTGGAAGGATGGCCCCATTGCAGATGTGTTTGAAGGAAAATACTGTGGAGGCAGGAGCAAAGAGACTGGCTTGGGGGGTGGGTTAGGGTAGCTGTCCTGGGTAGGGTGATGTGGGCCTGCATCCCAAGGAGAGTATAGCCTATGAGATAAGAGCAGAGATTTGAGAGCCAGACCATCTTAGCTCCTGCCTCCTGGGTTTTTATGTATGTAAAATTTGTGGGCAGTCTTTGACACACACTGCTAAAGCCCTAAGCGTTAGCTGTATTGCAATGGAAAAGCAAGAATGAGTCCGTGGTGGAGGCAGGGCCAATGTCAGGGAGTGTACAGAAGGCACGTTGTCAAAAGAATTAACAAGTCTGCAGGGAAAGGTGAAAAAACTATCCATTTGCCTGGGTATAGATTTGGGAACTTTCTAGATAGGAGTGTTAATTGAAATCCTGTTCTTGGTGGAGATTTGCCAAGAGCATTTTTAAATGTGGAAGACTTTTAGCCAGCATCCCAACCAGGAGTTATTTGAAGATGGTAACTCTTGTCTCCCTGGTGTGGGAGGGCAGGGTATGAGATGCCCCTCACCCAACCCCACCAGTCCGAGTCTGGCCTCACGTCCTGAAGCTGATTGGACAATGTGGAGGGTCTCAGAAGTAATAAGAGCTGTTAGATGTAACTCAGATCCGTTTCTCTACAGCTCTTCAGATTTTAATTAGTAATTCTTGGCTTTCCATCTTCCCATCTGCTATAAAATCAGCCCATTCACATCTTCCTGGTTAGCATTAGCCTACTAGTTCTCCTACCTGGCTCCATTCTGTGGCACCACAGGATGAAAATAGGTGTATTGATGGGGAGGCTGAGGCAAGTGGTCAAGCCCTTGGCTACTAACCAAAAAGGTCAGTGGTTAGAGGCTACCAGCCACTCTGTGAGAAAAAGATGTTAGTCTACTTCCCTAAAAATAGTCTTGGAAATCATCTGGAGCAGTTCCACTCTGTCATACAGGATCAGTGTATGTTGGAATCAACTCAAGGTAAGTGGGTTTGGTTTTGAGAGAAAAAAGTGCTTCCATATGCAAGTAAGTTTGAGATGTGTAGGATAACCCAAAATGTAAAGGACTTCCTGATATTGCTGGGTTTCTTAGGGCCTTTAATATCCTTCTACCCAGTCACTCGCCAAGAGGTGACCAGTAAGTCGCCCTGTAGACCTTTTGGGCCAGGGAACCCTCAATTGATCAGTCCTCATTTCTCCTGAAGCCAGTTTTGGTATTTATAATTGGGGTGTCTGAAACAGCTTGAAGAGATGTGTTCTCTGTGTGAACAGACACATTATGCATTCGTAGACACCTTTTTCTGTTCAGAGAGGCTTTCAACTCCCTAGAATCCACCCGGTAGACCTTCTCCTCCTCTGCCTTCACCTCCAATGAGAACTTCAAGCTAAACACTCTGACGCAGCTGAGTGAGCATGGCCAACGCAGTGCTTGTCCTACCACACCCTCAGAGCAGCATGAATGACTAGAAAATTGATGACATGGATAAGACCGTTTGTCTTCAGTGGGCTTAAGGGACCACACTGGTGAGGGGAAGAATATCAAGAAGAGATATCAGGACGTTTCATATGATTTAATAGTATACTTTAAATTGTCTTAGTTACCTATTCTGCTATAATAGAAGTACTTCACAAGTGGACGCTTCAACCAACAAATGTATTTTCCCACAGTTGAGGAAAGTAGAAGTGTGAATTCAGAGCACTGGTTCTCAGGGGATGTCTCTCTCACTTTCTTGGTGATCATCCCATGGCCTGTCATCTGTCTTCCCCCCGTATTTAAATGCTGCTCTCAATGTCTCCTGTCACCTGGGCGTTTCACTCAACCATTTGGTCTCACTCAGTAAGTAGTTAGGCTTTCAGGCCAGAGTACGAGAAGGGGACAGGTTTACTTTACGCTACCTGACCTGGCACAGAAGATAGGTTGAGCCTCTTGAATTTGCACCCTCAAGATCTGCCTGGTTTGGGCCAAAGGCAGTTCCCTTTCCCACAACCTCTGGCTGTGCATCTCTTCCCAGGAAAGAGCATCTATGGTGAACGTTTCCCCGATGAGAACTTCAAGCTGAAGCACTATGGACCCGGTTGGGTGAGCATGGCCAACGCAGGCAAAGACACCAATGGCTCCCAATTCTTCATCACTACAGTCAAGACTTCCTGGCTAGATGGCAAGCATGTGGTGTTTGGCAAAGTTCTCGAAGGCATGGTATGTTCTGGAGGCTGAGGCTGAACCCAGGCAGACTTTACTTACCAGGGCTCCAACACACCTGGGGCAGGGGTTGCTCCAGATCATCCCTTTCCCAGAAGAAGCAAATCCACAGACGCAGACCAGTCCTCATGTTTATTAAACAAGCTGCATCTTGGTGTGCCCCCTCCCCGCCCCACCCCCACCCCCACCCCCCCGCAAAAAAAATCCTAAACCCTTCTGGGCCTAGCCCGGAGGCCTTGCTGAGGATGTACAAGGGCAGGAGTGTCCCTTTGTTCACTTAGACTAGACGTTGATATGTTTCTGTCCCCCCACCCCCATACATGTGCACACACAACACACACACACACACGCAAACCTTCCCCTGACATGCACACCTTCCCAAGTGTCACAGGGTATAGATGAACACCGTTCCTTTGAAAGCCACCCTCCTCTCACCTTTGACCCAACCTTGGTTCTGTCCCTCAAAGGAACAAAACTGCTGCTTCCCCTTGTCCCAGCCCTGGGCTGGCACTCTGAGTTCATTAGAATTTTGGTACCTCAAGGTTTGTTCGTGAACCATAACTGGGCCTTAGCTCACTTGTATGGTCACCCTGACCCACCCTGCTCTCCTTCTTTCTCTTTTCTCAGGATGTAGTCCGGAAGGTGGAGAGCACCAAGACAGACGGTCGGGACAAACCCCTGAAGGATGTAACAATTGCAGACTGTGGCAAGATTGAGGTGGAGAAGCCCTTTGCCATTGCTAAGGAGTAGGACCCCAAGGACCTTTTCCTATTGAGTGACCTTCTGTGTGGCACTGCTGCCCTCTCGGGTGACAGTTGCCCACCACAGGGCTCCACACTACACTAGCCCTGGTGCTTACATCTGACAGCGGACCCATGCCCCCACATTCCATAAGCCCAGTTTTGTAACAAACATCTACCAACACCGACCAATAAAAAAGTTATTTTTTTTTGTATAAACTGCTTATGGCTGGCTTCTTGGGCCTGCAGCACCTCCCCCAACTGGACATCCCAGCATGTCCGGGGTTCTCCTATGGTAGTAGTGGATGCCAGTCCTTTTCTTAAGATTCTTGCTACCCACAAACCATTGCTTCTAAACTTGGCCAGCTACTGTGCCTCAACTGTTTTTGCTGTTTGCTTTCTTTGTGTTTTAAAATTCTGGTCTAGGTTAAGAAATACCTTCTCTACCGCTCATAGCTGACTTCTAAATTGACTTCTCCCTTTTACTCCCTGTCTTCCTGGCCCTGGGCTCTAAGTGCAGGCTGAGCCATGAGTGGCTAAGATCTGGGTCCCAAGCCAAGGGACAACCCAGCTCTGCCCCTTTGTGGAGTTCTTGGAATTAAGGTCCAAGACTGTCCTGACAGGGCCCACAGGCGCTGAGTGATCAGGGCGTCGGTGACAGAGGAGCAGGACAACAGGCAGCCTCTGGCTGGGCTTTGATGGGGCTGATGCTAAAGCCATAGAGGCCCTGGAGCACGCCGTTCACCACCATGTTTGGCAGAGGCTCTGTGGAATGGAAGGAAAACGGGGTGAGCGTACAGGGGAAACGGCGCCTGGCCCCTCGAGCTCCTCCAGCAGGGCACAGCTGGCCACCCCAAGTGAGGCTTTCCCTGGTCACATCAACTTAGTAAGGTCAAGCTACTGAGGACTGCGGGGCCAGGCTGATTTCCACCAGGGTCCATCCCTGGATGGAGGAGAACACACACAGCAGCTCTAAGGGGCACAGGAGTAACAGGTATGGCCCCAAAGGGAGCCAGGAGGAAGAAGAAGCTGTCTCAGGGAGGTCCTGGGAACTGAGGAATGGCAAATGTTCTCAGAATATTCCACCCTGGCTCCTGGGCCCAGAATACAGGTGCAAATCAAGCACCTCCTCACCTTGGGAGGGGGTACACGTGTAGGGATCCACGTGGAAGCTGATGACAGGCCGGTGGTGAAGTTGGGAGCTAAGAGAAGAGAGGATCATGAACCACTGCGCAGGGGCTGGAAGGGATACTAGAGACATTACTAGGGACCCACAAAGGGAAAGCTGAGTGGGAAGTGAGCTCAGGCACCAACAGGAAAACTTGTATGGTAAGGACAGAGGCAGCAGGGGCATTCCCCGCATGTGGCCACCAGGAGGCAGCAGGAGCTCAGCATGGTGGGACTTTTTGACTTGCCTGCAGTTGCTGGGCAGGAACTCCCCCAGGGTGCTGAAAGAGACAAGTCAATAAGCTTGCTGGGGAAGCCCAGGGGAGTATGAGCAGGGGTGGAGACAAAGCCCAGAACCTCACCTCCCAGGGGACCACTGCTTCTGTTTGTGACAAGCCCAGTTCCGCAGGTGGGTGGGTAACTAAAATCGCTCAGAAAACAACCCCACCATTAAGGGTTCAAGATAGCTGATAATTACAACAACAGTCATAAGAACTAGAAAATCTGTGTGTGGATATGTGTATGTGTATCGAGAAGCATAGGTGTATTGGTAGGGTGACCAAAACCCACTGCCATGGTGACCCTAGAAGGGTAGAACTCCTTAGGATTTCTGAGACTGAACGCTTACAACCTCATATTTCTCCTGCACACACAAAAGAAGGCTTTAAAAAGTACGTGGAAAAAAAGGAATTTAAACATAATAGTTTTTCCACTAGCTTTTTGAAGCCCTCTCATATAAAACTTCCTAGACATATAAACAGTTTGTGTGATTGCTTTCCTGAGTTAAAAGACCTGGACCCTAGTCTTATGGGACAACTTAACTGACATAACATAATCCATAATGTTCTGCATCCTAGTTTGGTGACTAGTAACTGGGGTCTTAAAAGCTTTTAAGCAGCCATCTCATCTGGAACAAAAGAGAATGAAGGAACTCAAAGACTCAAAGAAGAAACTAGTCTTCAGGACTGAGAGCCCACACAAGCCACACGTCCTCTTCTAACCTGAGACTAGAACTAGATGGCACCACCGTATTAATTTTACCAGGGACACAATTGTTGTTTAGAACCGTTGAGTCGGTTCAGACCCTTAGCAACCCAGTATAAGGCTTCCAAGGAGCAGCTGGTGAGCTTGAACAGCCAATGTTGCAGTACAAACCAACTTTGCAGTCCAGCACATTAGCCTACAGTGCCAAAGAAGGTTCCACATTGAATGGGAGAAAAATGTACAGCAAATTCCAAATTTCTAAAAAAAAGGCCCGATCTAATGAACTGATGATTCAGGCTAGAGACTATCACCCTAAGATACCTTTTGAACTTGGCACTGAAGGTAGTCTTGGAGGTCACCTTTCAGCAGAATAATAAACGATCACCCGTGAGTACTGTTTTTCCTTTAACAATCAACTATATGAGACACAATGGTCACATTTACCCAAAAGCAAAGATGAGAAGGCAGAGAGGAAAGGAAGCTAATTCAATCAAAACAAGAACAAATAATGAGAACATACTGTGAAAATTATTAACTAATGTCACTGAAAAACAATGTATATAACAATTATTAAATGAGAACCTAGTTTGCTGTGCAAAATCTTCACCTAAGATACAATAAAATATTAAAAACAACTGGTGATGTTGGCAAACCTCAAAAGGAAGACCCAGGCTAGAACCTGGCAAGTTTGAGAAATAAAAGTTGAGCTTGGCTCCCAAACTTTTCCTAACCTGCTTGCTCTCAAGAGATCCTGTCCCCACAACACTGTCCCCTCTCCCTTACTAAGTCTAAGCCACTGAAGGTGCTCACCACCAGCTGTTGGCCTTGGGGTCTGTGGGGAAGTGCCGAAGTCTTAGGAATTCTAGGAGTTCCTTGGGCACATCCTGGTTCAGGTATAGGACACCCTAGAGAGGATAGAGGAAGCCTGTAATTAGACCCAGACTGTTAATTTGCATAGCCAGATGCAAAATGAAAATGTGGGGCCCTTTATTTTAAAATGATTAGGAATTTCAAGTCGTGAGAGCAGACAATTAAACCAAGCTCAAGCTTGGAGCCCTTCTGAACAGCAACCTACATCCCCACCACCAGGGCAGCATATGACCCCACCCTGGAAGATAAGGGAACTAACTTTCATTGAGCTGGTTCCATCTGCCTCTTGGCGACTTCTTCAGTCCTTTCAAACAGGCCAGCAAGAGATGAACCCATTATTGTTCAGAAAAATTGGGCCTTGGAGTAGTGAATAACATACCCAAGATAAGGGTCCCTCCCTTTCTTTCTGGGCCACACCTCTGATCCAGTAGACTAGGGGCATTCAGTGCTCCAAAGTATGGGCTTACCCAATATGCAAGGTAAACTAATCTGTAGTGAACACTTTGGCATCTTTTCCACCACGTGAACCTGGATGTAGGTGCAGGCATACCTGGATGTAGGCCTCCAGGCCCTGCCGGCGCTGTTCCAGGCCTCTGGTCCTCCAGTTAGGCAGGCGTTTCGAGGGGAAGTCGGGCACTTTGTATAGTTTCTTGATCTGCCAGAGGTAGTGCAGGGCGGTTACAGCTCTCTGGGGCTGAGCCCTCAAACTCATTCCATTCAATCCCAGATTTGTCCCTACTCTTTCCCACCCCACTTAGGAGCTCTAGCTTGGTATACACCCAGGTAAGGGCGGCAGGGAGGGGGGACCGAAGCACAAAGTTCCCTAGACACCCGAGGGCCGGCTGGCCGCGCGGGGCATGGCCAGTGCGGGCTGGGACCTGTCTCTCCATGCCATCCCGATGACGGCCTCGCAGCCAGGATCAGGGAATGAGACCAGGAAATCAGTGGCACTGCTTCCCAGGGATTGGGCAGGCACTGGCAGGGCCGGGGTGGCTGTGTCGTCGGCGTCGCCTCACCCGCTTGTGCAGAGCGTGGAACTCACTGTAGCGCCTCGGAACGGTGTGTCTGCGTCCGCGGCACAGCACCTCCACTCGGAACACCTGGCGAGGGCGCGCGCGTGAGGTCCAGCCGGGGGTCGGCAGGATCCGCGCCTGGCCACGCGCCCGCTCTCCCAAGACACAAAGCGGCCGTGGAGCGCCGCCACTCTCAGGGGACCCTCTCACACCCCCACACACCTGGGAGAGGGGATTGGCGGACCTACCCCTCTGAGCGGTTCCTCAAGTGCCCGGGCTGGCAAACCTAAGTGTCCCCGAAACCTTGAATGAAGTGTCCCACGACAGCCTGATCTACGGCGCTCGACGCGCCCCCAAGCCGGGGCGCAGGGTCCCCAAGGCGCTCAGCGCGGAGAAATCCCGCTGCAGGTCCCCGCGCCCCTCTCGTCCCAGTGCTCCGCTCACCATGTGGCCTTTCTCTGGGTTCTGTCTGGATCCCTCGGGCTCGGGCCCCACAGACGGGATGTGAATTTCCAGCATCGTCGCGGGGACCAGCTTCTCTAGCTAAGCTGGGAGACCAAACATACAGCGCTCGGACCGCGGAGCCCGGAGCGCAGAACCCGCCCCTGAGCCAGCAGGCCCCGCCCCGGGCGTTCCCGGCTCACCGGCTCCTGTCCCTTGAAGATTAAGCAGGACGCCGGGTGGGTACTGCGAGCGTAGCGCCGCTCTCTGAGTCTAGCGGAACCACAGCGCTCGTGGGGATCCTTCCGCGAAGAGTCAAACATTTACTAAGCGCCCATTTATTGCTAGGCACGCAGGGGAGTCAAAATTTTCACCTATTTTTTGCTGAGCGCCTAGTAAAGATTTGGGCTTGTATTCTTCAGAGATGGACGGTGACGGGACCCAGCCCTTGGTGCCTACCCTGGGGCCAAGCAAGGAAGGGTCTCAGATCTTTCCTTGGGGCGGGCCGTACTATTATCCCTTCTGTCCACCCTGGGTGAGGCACGGAAAACTTCATGAGAGGGGACCCTGGCCTGAAGATCCCAGCTGAGGCCACGCCTGGGAATGCTAGGACCCAATCCAGCATTGATTATTCCCCTCCCATCACCCACAGATCCACCTTCTATCCATTCATGCATCACTCACCGGTGAACCTACTCCAGGTCCAGCGGGCAGAAGAGAGGCGGTTTGGAGACTCAGATTCTAGTTTAGGGGTCAAACAGCCTGCACTTCTGGAACTGTGATAGACATGTATTTGTCTGTGTAATGGGGAAAACGTGCCTTCCTCAAGAGACGAAAAATTGAGCGAGATCATTCATGTTAAGCCTTTAGCAGAATAAGGATTGAGGACATGGCTGCTTGATTGTGGATAGTTCCGAGAAGGTAGGTGGGTGGCAAAGAGGGATTGTGAGAGTTGGCACCAGGCTGCTCTTGCCCACTCACGTGTGGCAGGATTTTAATCTAGAAAGCTCTCATACTATGTGCTGCTGTAAAGGGGGCTCCGCTCCCACCTCTTAGGCAACTCTAACACCAAGTCAGCAGGAGCTGCTCCTATTCAGCAGTACCATGACAATGTCTTCTACTCTACCGGCTTCTCCCCAGTCCAAGCATGGAACTAGGGGAGGGTCAGGCCTGCCTTCCAAAAGCTCACACCTAGCCGGTGGACCCTGGGATGAGAAAAAGAAAGCAAGCTGGACTGTCTTAGGGGCTGAAGGGAATCAACACTATCAAACCAGCCTCTCCCCTGCTGAACTGGAGCAGAACAATCTCTATTCCAGCTCTGTCTCCAGAGAGAGGCATAGAGAATGTTTCCACAAGGTGGTAAGCAGGTCTCTCACCAAAATAGTATCATCTATACTATTTCCCCCAAAATTTTATCTCATATGGACCCCAGAATCAGGAAGCTGAAACTTCCAAGAACCTGATGTGGTCCCCTGAAAGGGAAACGGCCCACCCCTAAGAGAAGTGCTAGGTTTCGTTTCCTCCCTGACACTATATTGTTATTATTAGGTGCCATCGAGTCAGTTTCAACTCATAGCGAACCTAACTACAATAGAATGAAACACTGCAGGTCCTGCACCATCCTCACAACTGTTACATTTGAGCCTATTATTGTAATTGTGTCAATCCGTATCACTGGGGGTCTTCCTCTTCTACATTGATCCTCTATTTTTCTAATCATCATGCCCTTTTCTAGGGAATATTCCTGACATGTCCAAAGTAAGAGACAAAGTCTCCCCATCCTCACTTCTAAGAAAAAATCTGGCCGTACTTCTAAAACAGATTTGATCCTTCTTTTTGCAAACCATAGTACTTTCCATATTCTTTGCCAACACTATAATTCAAATCATGGAAAATACCATGGCTTGGGTCAGGCACACTGTAGTTCCCACAGTGACATGTTTGCTCTTGAACACTTTAAAAGTTTTTTGCAGCAGATTTGCCTAATGCAATCTGTCTTTTGACTGCTGCTTTCATGAGCATTGATTGCGGATTCAAGTAAAATGAAATCTTAAACAGTTTCTATCTTTTCTCCATTTATCATGATCCAGTTGTGAAGATTTTTTTCTTTACATTGAGGTACAATCCATACTGAAGACTGTAGTACATCTTCATCAGTAGTACTTTAAGTCCTCTTTGCTTTCAGCAAGCAAGGTTGTGTCTTCTGCTTATCATAAATTGTTGATGACTCTTCCTCCATTCCTGAAGCCATGTTATTGTTCATATAATACAGTTTCTTGGATTATTTGCTCAGCATACAAATTGAATAAATATGATGACACACACCTTTCCTGATTTTAAATCACTCAGTGTCCCCTTGTTCTGTTCGGATGACTGTCTCTTGATTTATGTACAGGTTCCTCATGAGCCCAATTAAATGTTCTGAAATTCCCATTCTTTGCAATGCTATCCATAGTTTATTATGATCCACACAGACAAATGCCTTTGCAGTGTCAATAAAGCACAAGTAAACATCTTTCTTGTATTCTTTGCTGTCATCCAAGATCCATCTGACGTCAGCAATGGTATCCCTCATTCCAAGTCCTCTTCTGAATTCAGCTTGAATTTATGGCAGCTCCTTGTTGATGTACTGCTACAATCTTTTACAATTATAGTCAGCAAAATTTTACTTGCAAGTGATATTAATGATAATGATATTGTCTGATGATTTCCACATTCTGCTAGGTCACTTTTCTTTGGAATGGCACAAATATGGATCTCTTCCAATCAGTTGGCCAGGCAGTTGTCTTCCATATTTCTTGGCATAGACCAGAGAGCAACTCCTGTGCTGCACCAGTTTGTTGAAACATTTCTATCTGTATTCTGTCCGTTCTTGGAATCTTGTTTTTTTGCCAGCGCTTTCAGTACAGCTTGGACTTCTTTTTCAATACCATCCATTCTTGATTATATGGTACCGCTTGAAATGGTATTCTTTGTGGTACAGTGACCCTATGTCTGGCACTATAAGGCCTCATTATGCAAGGTCCCAGCTCTCTTTGGTCCATAGGGCCACTCTACTGACCAGGGTGGCCTCCCCTGTGACTGGCAGACTTCTTGATCATACAGCCTATTACTGGCTTTCTATCCCTCTGTCTTTACCCGTATCATGTGGAAACTGCTATGTTCCCCAAAGGATCGTCCTGTTTTTCATGGTCCCCCTGCCCCCATATAAGATCCATTCTCTACCCAGCAGCATAAACCTTTATCCTTTATCAAGTTATCTGCTTAATATCCTCCACTGGGTTCCCATTGCACTTACAAATAAAACCCACTTTTCCCAACAGTCTACAAAGCTCTAGATGGTCCAGCCCAGCCTCCAACTCCCATCTCATCTCTCCCATCTGTCCCATGTGCACCAGACTTCAGCCAGTGATTTTCTTCCAGTTCTTCAAACAAACAAACTTTTTCCTGCCTCAGGGTTTTGTGTTTGCTGTTTCCTTTATATAGCGTACTTTTCTCTGATTCGTCATCTGGTGGGCTCATCCTCCAAGTCTCAGCCTAAAACTCACCTCCTCAAAGAACCCTTACATTCTAACCACCTTATCTCACTCAGGCTGGGCACTAACTACACGCTTTCATTATTTCGTATGAGTCTTTCTTAGTTCCTCCCACTGCTCCCCAGACTTTGTTGTTGTTAAGTGCCGTCAAGTCGATTCCGACCCATAGCGACCCTGTATAGGGTTTCCAAGGAGCAGCTGCTGAGCTTGAACCACCGACCTTGCAGTTCAAATGACTCTGTATTCTGACACATTAGCCCACAGCACCACACCAGGACTCCTGCTCCCCAGACTTTAAGAACCATCAAATCAGGAGCTGGTCTGTCTTATCAGTGGTTTTTCACTGTGGTGTTCGACATGTAGAAGGCACTCAAAATGGCCACCAAGGGGAGGGAAAGGCAGCCTGGGAAGGAGGCAGAAGGAGTGGTGAGTAGGGTGGGGAAGAGGGTTGCTGAAGGGTTGGAGAAAAGCCTTCAGGGGGTAACAGTAGTAATGCTGCATGGGCCTTCAGGGTAAGGCATCTGTCTCTTGACTCCCATACAGCATGTCTCCACAAGGAAGTGGGAGCTTACTAGGCCTGATGTGCAGATGTGGAGCCCACAGTTGCTGAAGACCAAGGTGACACTGAGTGGGCCCTGGAGGGAGACTGGGTGTGAAAATGCCCACCATACCCTGGCTTCTGCGGGTGGCTGAGGTTGCCAGCAGGCAGCCCCCAAGTCAGCGTGCAGGTTGGCTTCCCCGCAGCTCCCCCTGCCTTGGCTTGGACCCTTGCCATCTGCAGTCCAAACACAAAGCCCCCTTTCACTGGCAGGGTTTCTGCTGGGCTGTGGAGGCTGCTCAGGAGGTTTGGTTAACTCTGTTAAGAAAACAAAAAGGCCCTGGGCAGTGGGCTGGCGGGCGCCACTGCGCACAGAGACAGGATTCTTCTCCTGCTGGACGGTCCTGGGGACAGCTGGGCTAGGGGGTGGGACTGGGCCAGACACCTTGGATCATCTGTGTAACTCTTGGGCAATCCCTCACGCCTCAGTGTCCTATCTGTAAATTGGTGAGCTGTGTGGATTAAATAAGATTATTCTCAGCTTGGGACCTGACACACAGGATGTAGATATTACCTATTATTAGTTCATTGGATTATATACATTTTTTTTTTTTTTTTTGTAAATCCAAAACTGTGGGGTGGCCTATTGCCAATTATATAAGGTTCATCCTAATATGGATTCCTGGTGTGGTGCTGTAGGGTCAGCACAAAGTCAGCAGTTCAAAACCACCTGCTCCTCAGAAACCCTATATAGTGTCACTATGAGTTGGAACTGACATGACAGCTGTGAGATGGAATGAGCCAGAACACAAACACCCATGTGTAAGGCTTTATCGAAGGTTAGAAGGAAAGAGAGAGGCATTGCCGGGGGAAGGATTTTTATACTGGCTGAAGAGGAAGGAGGGGTTGAGATTAGTGGAGGTGATAGGTTGACTAGGGATGACGTGCAGTGCCGGTAGGGAGAGAGGAAGTTCCAGTAGGGAGAGAGAAAGCAAGCGTGGTAA